CCATGCCCGGCTAATTTTTTCTATATATTTTTAGTTGTCCAGCTAATTTCTTTCTATTTTTAGTAGAGACAGGGTCTCGCTCTTGTTCAGGCTGGTCTCGAACTCCTGAGCTCAAACAATCCACCTGCCTTGGCCTCCCAGAGTGCTAGAATTATAGGCACGAGCCACCACGCCCAGCCCAGAATGGATATTTTTGCTTTTCCTAGTTTACAGATGAGAAAACAAGAACAGGGAATTTAAATGATTTGAAGAGGGCACAGAGTTAGTAAGCAAATGCTGAGGATTGGGCTTTGTTTTTCCTCTAGTTTTATTGCTCTTACCCTAGGACTTACTACCTCTAAAATCAGAGTATACCTTCTCCCTGACCCCTATCAATAGCAGCAAAATCCTGAGGCCCTACAAAAATACAGTAGAGAAAAGGAAAGTCATGGCTTGAGTCTTTACTCTGTATTCCTAGACCTACATTCCTGATTTTGTTTTTTCAATCACAGTATGTTAAGCAAAAGTAGATTTAAATTGATAATTTATGTTAAGTAATTATTGAAGCATATTAAATTTTATTGAACACATACTATATGCCATTTGTTATCTAATTAAACAATTATAGCAATTCTCTGAGGAAAATATCAGTAAGCCTACAGAACAATTTCGGGCTCTCCAGAAGAGAAAAGTTGTCTTGCTATTAAAATGCTCTATTTAATTATTCCTATAAAACAAATTATGGAATATATTTTAAAAGGATCAGTATACATACCAAAAATGAAAAGAAATTAAACATTTCATAACAATGATAACTTCTTTAAGACAAAGTATAAATTGTCATAGTAGCCTTTTACTGATGGATTTTTCCATATCAATGGACTGCATTAATAGAATGAATTGGAGGCTGTCACTCAATAGAAGACCTGAGCATTTCAAGTCACTGCTGCACAACCTGTCCCTGCTTGTTGACCACAGATGGGTAAAGAGCTACATAGACAGGTGAAACAGTGGAGAACACTTGGACAGGCTAAACACAGAGCCTAGATGTGAATTCAGCTTCCACTGTTGTTTTGATTAAGTAACTCAGTGATACTGACCATTGTTTTACTTATTTTAAAAAAATAAGAGAATAATGACCGGAGAGTCATTGTGTGACAATTACTGAGTGCCTAGCACTCGTGGCCCTAAGTTACTTCCTAGCCTTAGATCTCCGCATTAGAACTGTACAGGGTGGTGGTTTAAGCAGGCAATGGCAGAACCTGGCAGCCCAGGTTCAGTGTCTGCCCCAGCTCCACCGCCTACCAGCTGCATGCTCTTGGGCAAGCTGCTCTAGGATAAGTATCCCTGATCCTTAGTTTCCTCATCTGCACACCAAGGATAAGTACAGTACCAACCTCGCAGCTGAGACAATGACCTGCAAGATGAACATCCCTAGGAGGCACACAATCAACGTTGCTATTGTAATCATTCTATTGCTACAGCTCGCTCCACACAGATGAGAAATCTAATGAGCAGAGGAATTACAATTTGCCAGTGGGCATAACACATTGGTGGCAGAAAAGGGTTGGTCACTAAGACTAGACTTATGCTTCATTTCTCCATCCCCACCAGGGTGGTGCTTAACATCAGAAAAAATAAGGGGGGAAATCAGAAAAGTATAGAGACTTAATTTTTCACATTTCTGTACTGCTGATTCAGACTCCTTAAATCACTTCTGTGTGTGCATTTGTGGTTATATTTTCCACCAACTGAAATAAACAACCACTGGTGCTTAGGGGTTGGCATATACATACTATGGGTCAGACTGAGAAAGCATCATAAATCAGATCACAATGTTGGAACTTGTCAAATCAGGCTTTCAATTTCCTCTTGGTACAACTTGCCAGAGAGCTGTAAGTTTCATCCTCCATGGTACATGGAGGATCCTGAACTGTAGCTTAGACTAGAAAAGAATCACCAGGCCATAGTGGAACAAAGTCTCATCAAAAGACTAGAAATAGATTTACATATAACTCCTTTGTTTCCTTTATTCATCTAACAGTTGTTTATCTACATTCCTATCATAGCATCTTTTTGTTTCAAATCTGAGTAATCATTTTATTATTTTTACACTGAAGCTTGGTTTGTCTTTATATCCTCAAAATGAAATTGATTATTTAGATATTATGCTTTTACCTTACATTATTATTGTGGTAAAAAAACATAACATTAAATTTATCACCGTAATCATTTTTAAATGTACAATTCAGTATTGTTAAGTGTATTCACATTGTTGTGCAATGGATCTCTAGAACTTTTTCATCTTGCAAAACTGAAACTCTATTCCCATTAAACACTAATTCCCCCTTTTCTCCCCTCCCATAGCTCTTGGCAACCACATGTCTGCTTTATGTTTCTATGATTTTGACTACTTTAGATACTTCATATGAGTGGAATCATACAGTATTTATCTTTTTGTGATTGGCTTATTTCACTTAGAATAATGTCCTCAAGTTTCATCCATCTTGTTGCATGTAACAGAATTTCTCTCTGTTTAAGGCCACATAATATTGCATATTATGTATATAGCATATTTTCTCTACTCATTCATCTTTCGATGGACATTTGGGGTGCTTCCACCTCTTGGCTATAGTGAGCGATGCTGCAATGAACATGAATGTGCAGATATCCCTATGAGATAGTGCTTTGAATCCTTTTGGATATATACTGAGAAGTAGAACTGCTGGATCATATAGTAATTTTATTTTTAATTCTTTGAGGAACCTCCATACTGTTTTTACAGCAGCTATCCTATTTTACATTCCCACCAACAGTGCACAAAGGCTTCGATTTCTCTACATCTTTACCCAAACTTATTTTATGTTCTTTTGATAGTGGTAACACTGATGGGCATAAGGTGATATCTCATTGTAATTTTGATTTGCATTTCTCTTACGGTTAGTGATGTTGAGCATCTTTTCACATGCTTGCTGGACATTTCTGTTGGAATGGAAAATTGTGTATTTAAGTTCTTTGTCCACTCTTTAATCAGGTTATTTGTTTTTGGTATTATTGAGTTGTAGAAGTTCCTTATATATTCTAGATATTAAATCCTTATAAGATATTTAAATTGCAAATATTTTCTTCCATTTCATAGGTTGATTTTTCACTCTGTGTTTCCTTTGATGCCCGGAAGTTAAGTTTAATGTAATCTCATCTATTTTTGTTTTAGTAACCTGTGTTTTTTGTATCTAAGAAATCATTGCTGAATCCAATGTCCTCTATGTTTTTTTCTAGGAGTTTTATAGTTTTAGGTCTTTAATCTATTTTGACTTAATTTTGTATTTAGTGTAAGGTAAAGGTCAAACTCTATTCTTTTGCATGTGACTATTCACTTCTCCAACACCATTTATTGAAGAGACTGTCCTTTTTCCCATTCTGTGGTCTGGCACCCATATAGAAGATCATTTGGCTGTATACGTCAGGGTTTATTTCTGGACTCTCCATTCTGTTCCATTGGTCTACATATCTGTCTTTATGCCAGTACCACACTGTCTTGACTACTATTGCTTTGTAGTATGTTTTGAAATCAGGAGGTGTGAGCCCTCCAATTTTGTTCTTCCTTTTCAAGATTGTTTTGGCTATGCAGAGTGTCTTGATATTCCCTA